TTCTGATAGAAATTTCCAAATTGAACATATTTTTTTAGCAGTGTTCAGCTAACACGAAAGGTCCTAACAACGTTACAAATAAGTTGTAATTTTGATTGGGGATATGTGACTTTGTGACAACGTTACTGTAACACAATCAAACTCTAAACTTTTTACTGACAAGAGAAATAATCTTATAACAAAATGAAACAACAGTGTGACCCATTGTTTCAAAGTGCGGTCCATCTGTAGCGTTTATTGGCTAATGGCTTGTATTCTTTTATTGAGTACGATCTGATGGTGAAGATAAGTGCCTCTTCTATTTTCATGGTAATTGTTCTAATGCGCGTTCCTCCTTATAAATAAATACCTAACGCGTTTCGACTAAAATAATATTCTTTCTTTCTAGCTCTCCCTTCCTTTCATTTTTCTCCTCCCTTTTCTTTCTTTCTCTTGTTTTTTTTCCTTTCTGTCCTTCCTTTTTCTCGAGGTTTTTCTTTGTTTATTTCTTTGCTTCTTCCTTCCTTCCTTCTTTTTCTCCTCCTTTTCCTCGAGCTCGCTCGCTCTATCTTTCTTTCTTTCTTTCTTTCTTTCTTTCTAGCTCTTCATTCCTCCTTTTTCTTTCTTTGTTTTAACTTATTCCTTTCTACCTTTCCACCTTTTTCTCGAGTCTTTTTTTTGTTTCTTTTTTTTTTTGCTTCTTTCTTCCTTCCTTCCTTTTTTTACCTTCCTTTTCTTCCTTTTTTTACTTCGCTTTGACTTTTTCTTCTCATTTACTCTTTTGCAAAAACTAAATACAATCGCCTTTATTGGATAATTAAAGAAGATTTCTATTTAATCGAACAAAAAATGAATATTTCTCATTGGTTCTGAAAATTAATAACTAAACGAACAACTAATCAGTCGAATTTTCGATACCGTATCAATTATTTTAATCGGTTTAAGGAAGAATTCTTTCAATCTTAGGCGTTTGTCGAGGAATTGGAATAGAGAAATTAACACTTAGGAAAAAACCATTATTTCAATGTTGATATTTTTATTGGCAAGAGAGATAATCTTAACAAAATTAAACAACAATGAAAAACCCACTGCTTGAAAGTGCAGCTCATCTGTAGCGTTAATTGGTTAATGTTTTTTTTTCTTTTTATTGTTGACGAACTGGTACTCAAGGGAGATAACTCGTTTTCTCGGTTCAAACGTAGCTCCTCTGTGTCTTTTCTATAAATATTTTCATGGCAATTGTTCTAATTAGCTTTCCTCCCTGGTATCTCGGCTGCACGAATTTAAGCTTACTTATAGATTGGCAGCTACGCCTCATCATTTACGGTTAAAATTGGTAGATGTAACTGTAACGTCAAAAGTACGCAGGATAGGCTTTAAGAAAGTTTTATTCAACTGGGAATACAATGCTCGTATATAGTGTCCTTTTATAGTGCAAGTAAACAGAAATCGCTCTCTCAAAGTGGAGAGTAACAAAGCAAGAGGAGACCACTCTTGATTATTCATAGCAATAACTGTAATTTCTATTCCAATATTTCTTTTTCTTGCACTTCTCACCTGTGGAACTCTCTTCCAGTTTCTTACAAGTTACAAGTTAACGTTACTGTCGCGTTATGGGGAGCCTACAAAAATATTTTTATAAGCTATATGCAACGTTGCAGAAATGTTGCACCAACGTCCTTTTCTTAGCTCTGTAGACGATGATGCATGTTACAGGCCTCAGCGTCGTGAAATTGTTCAGTGCAGGCACGTATCATCAACAAAGACGCACACTTGCTTCTTTACTATTTCGATTAGAACCGTTTGAATGGAAGTCGTATTGTAGTGCCTTCGAGAGACTGGATGGTCATTTTGGAGAATTGATGCACGTTTTGACGCGTCGATGATGTTTCGATGCGGCCAACATTAGTCAAATGAATATTCTTGTACCATAGACGGTCACATAGTAGAGACGCTTGCTAAGACCGATGCATTGTAAAGGTAGACAGTGGCAGAACACACGGCGTCCACAAAGCAGATCAAAGCAAATATGGCTACCAAAATGTAATCATGGAATGTTGTGAATCGCTTACTTGCAGTAGGACTACGGATGCATGTGCCTTTAACCAGACGTCTACTTACACTACAGCAGCGTCATACATATGAAGAGTGACTTGGGGCCCTAATAGAGTCTATAATCTTCTGAGACTGACTGACAGATGTCTACTACTAACAAAACAATAAAGTAAAGGTATGAAAATCTGTAGAAAATCTGGAATCATGAGCGAGGTGACAAAATTAGAGAATTTATTGAGGTCTGCGACATATCTTATATATACTGAATGAATTTAAAATCTTGCAAGGAAAGGATTCAATGGAGTACCTGGAATCAGTTTCGTTTCGCCCATTTACGGTGACGATTATCTTGCTTGAACACACGATCACCACCTGAAAACGTGACGAGCATAAATGCGTGTAAATGGCCTGCAAGAAGATGTGTCCATGTGGCACTTATCAATACAGATTCTAGTTTAATATGTGGTCCTAAAGAGCTCCATAAGGACACATCCCTACGCTATTACAGAGCCATCATCATCTTGCATAGCACTTTGCTGACAGGCTAGATCTATAGCCTCACGTGGTGTCCTCCTCAAACGAACTCGACCGTCTCTACTGGAAATAGCTGGAAACCAGATAGATGACACGGCGCCAGTCATTCACGTTCCAATGGCGATATTCTCTTACTCATTTCATGCACAATAACCAATTCCGAGTCAAACAATTGATCTTGGTCGACAATTACGAAATACCTTGGAATGGAGTTTAAACTGTACGACGTGTTGACTGAAGGTTTTGAGTGGCACCATTATGGAATTACAATGCGATTTGCTGCATTATTCCTCTTCATTAAGTTGTTTACAACCTTATTACTTCCCAGATGTCTTTTTTGAATCATCTGTGAGCACCTGTAGTCTTCGCCTGCTTCTTGTTTCTGTATAGAATTCACATTGAATTTGAGCTTGTGAAGGTCCTTTGTTCTACGTAGGCCTTCCCCAGTTAGTTTCACGGAGAGGAATGTGTCATTACCCTACTGCGCTTGAGAATTTTACTAGTTAATTCATATATTACAAATGATTTTGCTACTGTTACTCAAGATAAAACAAACTAGAGATTTTGTCATCTCAGAGAGAGAGAGAGAGAGAGAGTACCCCACCTTTTTTTGGTCCTAAGAATCATTCCGTGATGAATGCGTGCTAAATTCTAGCAGCGCTGAGAAGACTGAAAAGAAGCTGATAAATATATATCTGGTCAGTAAGGATTTCAACATGGTATAGATCATTGGTAGAAGAAAGCGCGATAAAAGGACTATCAACTGCAAGGAGACAGAAAGTATGGTCATCAGCAAGAGATAAAAGCCCTAGATGCGAGTTACTAATTGGCGATATAAGGAGGTGTAGAAGTTCAAATATCTGGGAAGCGTTTTAAAACGGAAGATGGAAAATGCAACACCGATATCAGAACACGTATTTGGTCTAGCGAAAGAAGCGTTCCAATAGCTAAGCAAGGTGCTGAGAAATTACCGTCTAGTTGTATAAAACAGAAAACTCGTGTTTATTAGCTGCGAGGAATATTCGGTTATAATTAAAAGAGAAGCTTGTAAACACCAGGTTATTGTAAACAGCAGCACAGAATTTGATATCGTAATTGCATTCATGCGTTGTAAATTGACTTTAATAACGTTATAAACTCATAGCAAAACACATACGCACGCGGATTGTCTGGCCGAGGCAATTTAGGACTGATTTCTGTTCGTCATAGAGAAGCACAATTGCAGTTTCTTTCCTGATGAACATACTTCGTTGGTTTCAGGCGCGAAGATCTAGACCGTCTTCATTGCATCAATTGGTCAGCTGAAACGTACACACCCACACGCACCCAACCAATAAGAGTGTACGCTACAACTTTTGAATAGAAGCGGATAGCACGAAATCCCACTCACTTAAAGATATCACGTAAAATTCGCAGTAACGCTAAGTTACGCAGCATAATTGTAGCTCGAGTTATTGAACAGTAGTTCTTCGTTGCTATATCTTATTCTTCTTTAAATGCCACGACTTTCTACAGGTTTCTTTTGTCTTTAATATCTGCGAATTGCCATGACTTCTTGGGAGATATAGTGAAGTTGTTTGCCGCTGCCTTCTCCACGGCTTGAATTATCCTAGACTGATTGCCTTACGAAATAGTTTCCTGTTGCTTTGTACACGGTTTAAATTCACTTAGACTGGTCGCCTTACTAAGGCTAAAGAAGCCAGTCCAACCGACTATTTACCGATATCTAGGAGGAGAAGAGATGACTGCATACCTTTCCCAAGGTCATTAGCTTGAAGTGAATGCAAACAGCCTCGTCTGAAGAAAGCATACATCCATTTCTTCTGCCTACTTTGCTCTGAGTGAAATAACGAGGCATACTAAGCTCTCTAGCCTTGACAGGCAGACAGTCTAGGAGAAGAATTGAAAATTGTGGTCAGGTTAGTGGGAAACTACTACACTCTTTTTCGCCAAAGCAGTAACGGTAGGGTACATTTTGATATCGGCTCGGAGTGAGAACTCGGAGAGCTGAGTTCGAATTCCGGTCGAGTTCGTTAGTCACTTACGCTCAAGTACCCTTGGGAAAGGTATGAATCCATCTCTTCTCCCCCCCCCACAAAGATATGTGTTAAATAGCAGGACAGACTGGGTTCTTTAGCGTTGGTTGGCAACCAGTCTACCTCAGAAAGAAACGACAACCTACTACGGGGAAAAAATCTGCCACGTCAGTCATGTATAGAAAGATACATGATCACCCAAGCGTGTATCACTTATGGCACTTAACTGACTGACATTTTGCAGACGTTATAAAAATGAAGCCGTGTGGGTCCATGATTGCCTATGCCCTGAAAGTATATGACACTTAAGAAATTAAACTATAATATATGTATATAAAAAGGTGGTCCAGTGAGTCTGCAGTGAATTTGTTGCCCTCTGAAGTTTCATCCGAAATTTCAGAGGGGAACAAATTCCCTAAAAAAAAAAATTTTGACGTCAGTAAACATGCTCACACACACTTTGGCTAAGAGAATACAAGAGAGAGAGAGAGAGAGAGAGAGAGAGAGAGAGAGAGAGAAAGTGATTAGATAATAGAAGTTAACGAAATCCTCTCTTTTGTAAATATCAACAACTTATAAGAATTTATAGATAAGCTTAGTTTAGTCATACAAAGATTCAAGAGGAAAAATAATGGTGTCTTGCACCAACCGTCCAAACAAGTAAAGGGTTGCCTGCCTTGAAAATCAGCACTCGAAATACCCTCAGTTTCAAATATTGACCACTGACGCGAGTGGCAAATACTTTAGCAATATACAATAATGCTGATTAAACGAGCTGGAAGTGGAAGAATAACGCTTTATGGCCCTTTAATTGGACATAACAACTCAAAGGTTTTTACTGGACATTTATCTTGATCAATGTCGATCAAAATATTTTGATCTGAGAAGAGTCTGGGTTAGGAGCTGTTATTTATGATTTTTTCCGAATTAAACTGGCGGGAGAGAGGAGTCCAAGTTTCATAAAAGAGGAATCATTTTTGCCAGCGAGCAGCAGAGGCTGTGTCAGCCTTTTGAGGATGGGAGGGATCTCTTCGCTTCCGCCATTTTCCTTAGTAGCAACTGCCCTGTCTCGTTTCTTGAAGCAGACGAATAAACCAGAATGATTTCTTCAACAGTTTTTCATCGTTCGTCACTTTTCGAATCGCCAATTTTTCAGCATCCAGTCACAGCAATCTGAAATCCAACATGGTGTAGGCTCAAGGTGCAAAGCTACAATACGCTATTACCTCTGTTATTACAACAGTTATTTACAATAGATGTCTATTAATATAGATATATAATATAATTTGAAATGCGTTGCGACAACAAAAATCTAGACCAAATTTAATAATAAAGACATTTTCTTAAACCATGGTAGCTTGCTGGCGATAAAGTCAAATTCTAGATGATTCACAATTGGTAATTTAGGGTGTGACGAGTTCATACCGTGTGAAAGTAATACGAACAATATCAACCGAAATTCGAACTCGTCTGATTTTCATGTTTTTAAGTCGATAATCACTTCTGCTTCTATATGTCCTGTCCCTTCAGGACATGGACGATCATGGCTTTCCATAACTTCCTATCATTTGTAGTTCTTAGTAAGGTGTATCATTTCAACATTTCTCTCAATCCTTGTACTGCCTTTCATTTACACAAGCTTGTCAGCTATGTCGCTTACCTTCAATATGTGCTGTGACTATCAAATTCTCCGAGCCCTCTATCCTCATTAAGCATCCCAGGAATTTCAACTGTCTCTTCCAGGTTGAAAGTGCCCTGTTTGATTCCATTTTGCATAAAACTTCCTCGTTACTCACATATTCCTTCCATGGTATCCTCTGCATCCTTCCGTAGAACCACATTTCTGTTGCCTCAAGTCTCCTCTTCATCTGCGAGAAGATTGTCCAGGATTCACAGGTCCGATGAGCTGATTTCGCTGGTTCCCAGACTTCATGAATTTAAGCGTTCAATTAGGCTGGCATTTCGTTCTCACCCTTTCACTGTCAAAACTGTTAAATGTAGACGTCTCTTCTACTCCAATAGCTTCATGTCTCGCACTTCTCGCCTGTGGAACTCCCTCCCCTTTTCTTGTTTCCCTGATAGCTATAATCTTCAACTATTCAAATGTAATGTCAATTGACGTCTCCAGATACCTTGATCTATCCCCTATCCTTCTCTTCATCCTTTCCTCTATCCTATTTGCTCTCGCTCCAACTCTCTGTAATCCCTTGCGTGCTAATGGCTTCCCGCCTTGCTTGGAGTGAAACACTCAAAAAAAAAAAATATAGGAGAATTGATATTACATAACAGCCGAGCACCATTTTGTTTGTTTCTAATGAAATTTTCCCGTTTCTTAATACTTTGTTTGGCTTTTTAAATGCGTCTTTCGCGATTCTAACATGCCTTCGGATTTTGAATGTCACATTTTCTGTCCTTTGTTAAAACATTTCATAGATTTTGGTTTTTTACTCGTTTCACACCAAGAAAGACGACAATGCAACTGAAACGCAATTGTTTGGGTGGGGGGATAATAGGGATCGAACGCGAGAAAAATGAGAAGATTAAAAATGGGGAGGATTGAAAAAAAAGGACAAAAAAGTAACAGTGTTCAAGACAGAAGATAGCGACGACGTTGCAGTTAAATTTTTGAAGGTTGTAATCATTTGTGGTGTAATAGATATCAGCTCGGAGTGAGAACGCGGAGAGCTGAGTTCGAATTCCGGTCGAGTACGTTAGATTCACTTACGCTCAAATACCCTTGGGAAAGGTATGAACCCATCTCTTCTCCTCCCAGATATGGGTTAAATAGCAGGACAGACTGGGTTCTTTAGCCTTGGTTGGCAACCAGTCTACCGCAAAAAGAAATGGCAACTTACTGAGTGAAAAATCTGTCTCTTCAGTCATGTATCGAAAGATACATGATCGCCTAAGCGTGTATCACGTATGGCTCTTAACTGACCGAGTCATCAGGGGAGTAAGAAATCGAAAGGGAGTTCTACAGGCGGGAGGTTCAAGAAAAAAAAACTGTTAGAGTAGAAGTGATGGTTTCATCTATCTAGTTCAACAGTAAAACCGTGAGACCTAGTAGCACGCTTAAATTCATGTAGTTGGTTCACCAGGAAGAGCTGCTTATCTGATCAGTTGCCATGAAAATATTTGAAGAACAGACAGAGGGAAGCCACGTCACGTCGGTGAAAAAGTGACTGAAGCCGAGATGCCTGGTCAGGACTGATTGTATTGCAGACTGGATTTTATTAAGAATCTTGAGATGCACAGTAGGAGCACCAGGGCAGATATGGCAACAGGGTATTCAATACGCGGATGAATAGTAGATTTATAAATATGCAAGATGGATTCTGTCGAGAAAATTTGGGGTGGCACGATGCAGTGAACTGACCTTCCTTCCTAGCAGAATACGTAGCAATTGGCTCGATATAGTCGGTCCACTTCATGTCAGTGGAAAACGTGAGACCAAGAACGCATAGAGTGTCAATCTCCTGCAATTCAGCGTCAGATACCCTGATGGTAGGCAGAAAAGGTTCTTTGTGGTTATTAAATGAAAGAAGTTTTGTTTTAGAGGCGTTAAAATTTACAAGGCATTTCTTGCTCCATTTAACCATTAATTGGAAGTCCTTTTCAAGAGTAGTTGCCAGGTTTACTTTGTTGGATCTGTTGGATTTGCTAGTAAGACAGGAGATATCTAAATGTTTGTACTTGTTTGATTTTGGCATCTTCAAACCGTAATTCGTAATGCATATTCGCCACTTAAATATCTACAACGTATTATAGTACCCGGTATATGCGCCCGTGTTCTTGAAAAAGAAAGATAACAAAAAAGTGTGAGAGAAAGAGAAGGATCGGGAGGAACAGAGAGTTGAAGAGTTTACTTTCTCTAAGTACTCTGTGAATGAATTTTGAAGAAATAAAAGAAGCTAAAACTACTCAATGAAGAAATCTTGCCTTCTTCCGGTGAAAGACGGGAGTCGGGCAAGTGGGCTGGGTGGAGGAGTAAAGTGGGTTTAAGCAAAAGAATGTCCCGAAATGTGAAATTTGGTTCCCAGGCGTCTGCAGGTCGGTAGTATCGGGTATCTTTCTCTTCAAGCCTGCTTAACTATCAACAGTAGGGGGGCCGCCCTACCGAAAGAATCTATGAATGGGAGACAGATTTGAACGTATTTGTGTGTCGTATATGTGTAAGTGTTTTATTTTGTGCCCTTTTTGTTGTTTTTATTTTCGTATTCTTTTCTTTTTTTCTTTTTTCTTTTTTTTCCTTACTGTACAGCACTGGACAAAACGTAACTCAAGAGTCTATGTACGCATGCGTACGAAATATAAAACGTTCCCAAAGAAAGACGATCATTAACGTTCTTTCGTTTACCCCACGCATTAAAATACGTAGAAGGCAGATTTCATTCATTTCTATTCGTTCTTCGTCGTAGTATGTTGGCGGTAGTAAATGTGTGGATATGATGTGATCTTTTTACTTTTACAATTAAGCACAGAGAGTAAAATCATGTAGTATCGCTATATTTATAGAATTTACCGTAATGAGACTGACTACAATTTTTATTTTAAAATATGCCACTCTAATTGAAAGAGAAAACAATTTATGAAGACGAAAATGTTTAGAAAGTGTTTTTATCGCTAGATCATCCACAGTAAATTTGCACCCAGGTTCTTACAACGTTTCACTATTCTTGACAGATGTTTTATTATCACAATATGTGATAACAAAAACGATGGAAAAATAAACATAAATAAACAGGAAAAAAAAGAATCTAAATGAAATCGGGTAGATTATATGCCTAAAACATATATTAAACAAAATTAAATTTAAATTTAAAATTCTCAGCATCCCACTTCCTTTGTGCGCATGTGTAGTCGCATTAACGTAAACTAAACATCAATTTTAGTCCGATGAACTCCTAAAGGACGAAACGCGTCACACAAAAACATTTTTTTCAATTTATCATACATTTTTCCCTAAAATTGTTCTTAATATATAAAAAATGTATATATCGTTTTCCCAGAACTCCATGTCTACGAACTCTAAATATAACCCTTCGAAACAATCAACTTTAATATACGTTGCTAAATCCAATAGAAACCAGTTTAGAAAGTTAACTTATATGCCAAATAAAATAATGTAGGCGCGATTCGTCGTAAAGCTGAGTAACCATCACTTATTGTGAAACTTCTTTTTCTTTTTTTTTAAAAGCCATGTAGGCGATCATGGCTCTCCACAGATTCTATTTCTTATTATCTATGAACTGCCATGCATTCTTAGGAAAGAAAATCGCTGCTTTCTCCACAGTGTGAAATTTAAAGCTTTCCTTTTTTTTAAAACTGATTACCACTCAAAGCAAAAGAGAATCCAGTCTGCCCAGATATTTAACCCAAAGCTGGAGGGAGAAGCAACATATTCATGCCTTCCTAAGAGACATTATGTAAAAGTGAATGCTACATACCTTTGCAAAAATGCTTTATTGATTAGCAGGTGTAAAAACAAGATATTCAATTTTTCAAAGCTAAACGCGAGAAGAAAGTCATAATTTTTATTAATAATAAATGAAAACACACGGCTCAGAAATTCAGTCACGTAGGATTTTCAGCTTGTTTGTAAGGCTTGTTCTGGGTGAAAGTCATTAAGACGTCGAGTGTAAGTAGATAACAAATATTTTAATGACAAGTTTTCATATATATATATATATATATATATATATATATATATATATATATATATATAAATGTCTTCATGGAACATTAACCCAAACATATGTTATAAATTTTTGTTAGTAAATATGAAAGAGGGTATGTCGGATTTAATTCCACTTAAGTTCCGTAAAAAATAAGACGATTGGCATTGACACTTCACTCTCTCCACTCTACCTACATATAAGCATACATATATATATATATATATATATATATATATATATATATATATATATATATATATATATATATAAGCATACATATATATAAGCATGCATATATATATATAATTATATTCGCTCTACTCTGTATTAAGCACTCTTTTTTAAGAATAGTAATTGTTGGTTATTGAAATTTATTCCGTATACACCAATCCGATATATTATATATATATATATATATATATATATATATATATATATATATATATATAATATATATGAATATATATATATATATATATATATAATGTTTGTGTATATATATACGTATATACACAAAACGATAGAAAGAGAAAGAATACATAACGAGGTAGGGTTCATAGACAAGTATAATTTCTTTTATGCAGTTAAATATTTTCTTAATTAACACAATTCATTAACTATTTGATTGTAACTATTATTAAAAGAAGTTGTTGCGGTATATAATAACACTAACTCTCTCATTCTCTTTCTCCCTCATACACAATGCATGCACGCACGATCTCTCACGTCACACATATATATATGTGTTGTGATAGAGAGCACGTGTGTTTGTGTGAATGATGTTACCTGGTAAAAGCCTAATCTTGGTTTGGTACATGTTACGAAATCTCAGTGCGGATCGAACCCTCTTTCAATGATTTGTAGGATTCCACGTTAGTATGGTAGATATAGCTATAACCTGAGATAGATAGATAGATAGATAGATAGATAGATAGATAGATAGATAGATAGATAGATCTTGTAATAAATAGAAGCAACTAATAATAATAAATTGCATTTATATTATAATTAATGCACTGCTTAACTCTCGTGCAGCTTTGCTGTTTATCCTTGAAATTAATTTTGGCATACATGAATTATCAGCAAAAAGACAGAAAAAATTAATCTTTTATCTTAAATTTGTGGAATTATTTTACGACACATTCGTCAACTGCGTTTAAATCGAATAAAAAATGGTTATGAATTTGTATCGATAATGTCAATTTGAATTTCATATCACCTGAAGATCAATTTATGCAAAAATGTTATTACCATACTTTCATTTGCATTCATTTTTAAAATGAATATCTTTTCATAAGCCCGATATTTCTTCATACGATGTTTTTAAGCTCATCTAAATATGTATATTGTCATCTTACAGACTTTCTAACACATAGTGATTATTAGTTCAAGAGTGCACCGTTATATATTCATGTAACTATTTATGATTATCCATGGCGTTGGGGTGTTGGGAACAGGTGACTAAAGCACCCCTCCTATTTTTTGCTGAAACTGAGAACTAAACAAGACTAAATTTATCCTCTTGGCTTCAATCTATGACAATGCTGTTGAGCTAAGTTCTATCATATGTTTGAAATTATTACTTCTTTTAATTTTCAAAATAAATCAGAAAACTTAATTTTCCGAAACTTTTATATAAGTCTTATATACGCAATAAGTCTATCTATATTTGTCTTATTCCAGAAAATGCGTACAAGAGAAAAACAAAGTATAAAAACATGTATTTAAAATCAAAACAAAAAAGAAATGCTTTCAGTAGAAATAATAGATTAAAAAATAGTCATTTTTATCATCAGGTAAAAAAATATAATCTTTAAAGTTTAAAATTTACTATCTGGTGTAGAAGCCACAATTTTTAACATTTGATTTTTAACTTAAAGTTTATTTTTTATTTTGTGGCTCGATACATTATAAACTTTGTAACGTTAGCTTGAATATGTGTTTTGTGTGTATTTGTGCACATTGTAACGTGTTTTTAATGATATCGGAAAAGATTTTACCCATAAATACTTATTTTACAGTTAAACAATAAACAGATTTACAACATAGCCTCTCTAATTTTACCGATTAAATTGCAAATAAAATGTGAAAAATAAAATAAGGAGCCCTTAAGTTTAAGTGATGAATGTAAAAATTACTTGACAAGCGGCCACTACAAAACTACCACCGATAAAATTTGAACTCGCTTTTAGTTTTTAACAATAAAAGTTCTCTAGTCCGGTGGAGTTGTACCATAGGCTCTGCGACCAGGAATGTTTTTAGTACTTGTGAGTTATCTGTTGCTACTTTTTAATTTTTGGTGATCTCTATAAAGTTAGATGTGGTATTTAAAATGTTTTTTTCTTTTTTTTTTAGTTCATTGTTTTTTCTTTTTTTTTTTCTTTTTTTTTTCAGACTGTTAAATGAATCTTTGGATAGTACGCATCTTTTATTTGTGAAAAAGCAGGGAAATTAATTTAAAAAGTGGCGACAGATAACCCACAAGTACCAATTTTTTTTTTTTTTTTACGCATAAGTTCTCCAGATTATGAATATCAAAAGAAAAAAAGAATTGTTAAATTTTATAAAAATTACTAAGGGGGTCCAGTTTTCCATATAAATTCATTGTAAATTAATCCCCTTACGGAAGCCAAAACAAATATGCTCATATGACGTGATTTCTTAAAAAGTAAAAATATATATATCTTTGTTTAATTCATTATCTGGAGTGCTTAATCGATAGTAATATATGAAGAAAGAACTCCAGATTACGAATTTCAATTTTTTTTCTTTTAATATTCCTGATCTTGACTGCTTTCTTTATCTATACAATAATAGGGGAAAAATTGAAAAAAAAAATTACTATTTTTGGTCACACACCTTCATCTCTATTCCCTGAACTAAAATTTCTTCTGATTTCTGAAGGATTTACAGGGATTTCTATTCTTTCCGTAATCTTTTCGGCATTTATCATGTCATATCAGAACACTTTACTCGTATGAAAAATCTGGGAGGGAAATCAACACGCAAAATAATAATAATAATACTCTTCTTGTCTATAGATAAAAAAAAATGCTTCGTCCTACCTTCGGCCGGATATATTTGCTCTAAGGCAATAGTTAACAGTAAGAAAACCAGGTAATTCCTAACGGTCCCCATATTTTGGGACGGTAACAAGCTCCGATGACTACTGTCTCTGTGTGTATGTATACGTCTGTGCGTGAGAAGAGACAATCCCCACACGCAGGCTTCTCGCTTTGACATGTGCTCCAAGCGCCAAGTGCTGCCGGGAATTGTAGGGTCGCCCCACCTCAACTCTCCTTACCCTGAGTCAGTCTCCTCCCATATTTTAGGCCGATACATGGACTTGCTCATGAATATACTGACGCATACTCTAGTACACACAAGCATGGACGCAAGCCCACCCAAACCACAGCCAATTATAATAAACACAACAACCAGAACTACACACGTCATATTTCCCAGTTAAGTAAAAATCAAATAGAAGGTAAAAGGACAGATAAAATAGATAAATTGATATTTCCATATATATTCCATGTTTTGAAGAATTTTCTTTTTATATTATCTTGATAAATGAAGGATGAATAATTACGAAAAACGCCCACACGTTACCGGAAATTTGATTAACAAAAGCGAAGAGTGATTGGCCTTGTTAATAAGTCAATATTTATTTACAGTCGAACTAAAGTCCTCATCTCTGTTGTTAAGTCCTGGACATAACGATAAACTACATCGGCAACAAGGCCTCTGATCGGGAGGTTTTGAAGTGGAACCACCTCTTAAATGTTTTGTTCCCAGATCAACTCTGACCCTGGGGTGGTAGCACCTGTTAGAGTCCCAGCTATGGGCAAATAGTGAATCCACAAACTGGGGTCAAAACACTATGAAAGTATAATAATGCATTTTTTTTATAGTAAAAATTTCAGCAATACATTTTCATAGTAAAAAAAATTACCAACAATACATTTTTGTAAATAAAATTACTAATGCTCCCAAGAAAATTAAATTTCGGCATTAAATGACCCATAAGGATGTTGATATGCCGCTAAACAAACAAGCTTTGTTGTTACTATCAAAACGTTTCGACCGTCGAGCCGCTCAGCCTTCGTCAAGTGTTTGTCGAGCCGGTTACACTTTGGGGAATTTCAAATTGAACCTGTTATTAAGCTACGAGAGTAGACGGTTATCATTTCCGCTGTCAATGTCTGAGGATATCACATTTTGTTTATATTGTCTGCTTCATAGTGCGCAGATATCGCTGTTTCTGGTTCCACTAGGTTTGAATATATCCGTGTTACCCGGCCAAATGGATCGAACTCACAATTTAATTACAACGTCACCAAATACACGGGCCAATCGCGTAGAGGATTCAAGCGTCGGTTAACGAGTTTAAGAAAAGTTTTCGGTTCGGTCCTGAAATCCCTGGAAATTTATCGGATCAACAAACGCCTGAAGGCGGTCAGAAAACACAACGAGCAAAATCTTGTGATAGTAACAATGTTGAGGATATGAGTTCGACTCTAAATAATATAAATAACGATAACAAATAAATAACAATCATATAACAATTTATAATGTCTAATACAGAGTGTCTCATGATGATGGAACACATTTTAAATGCAAGTATTTTGGATTATAAAATTAGCATAGAGTACCAAATATGATTATTACATAACTGATATGTAAGAGTTCAACATATTATCGAAGATTTTGCTATTTCCAACAGGTATCTTATATTTCTTTTGCTGATGGTGAACACTTATAATTTCTCGGAAATTGGAGTAGCGGAGAGCGGCTCGGGTTGAGGAATCGGAGAGCCGAGTTCGAATTCCACCCGAATCCATTACATTCATTTACGTGCTAATACTCTTGGGAAAGATATGAATCCTCCTCTTCTCCCCCAGCTATGGGTAAATAATAACAGACCGAATTTTATAGCCTTGGATGGCTATTGATCTACCGTAGAAAGAAATGGCAACCTACTGCCTCGTCAGCCATGTATCGAAAGATACATAATCGGCCCAAGCGTACATCACGCATGGTACATATCTGAGTGAGGGGAAGCATACTTCACCAATCAAAGATCCATCATAGTAGCCTGAAGGAAATTTCGACAGCATTTTGGAAAGCAAACACTTTTATATAAATTATGTAATAAATATATTGGGTACACTATGTCAGTTTTATAATCCAAGATACTTGTATTTAAAATGTGTCCCGTCATTATAGGACACCCTGTAGAAAGAATGTGAAAAAAAAAAGATATATATAGATTTTTATGTATCAGACCAATTTTAGTAAAATCTACGACAATTTTCCCACTTGTTCAGAGACTTTCCGAAATAATGATAACTCCTCATTCCAGGGATATAACGGTATGCATCGTCGTCATCATCATCATGTGTGAAAAGGACTTTCGCTATTAACAGTATCACATCCATACAACATCAGCTGAAGCAGATATGACTCAACAAAGCAAAGAGTAAAGAAATGAATTTGTAATTGGGGAAGACAAGTGTTCCGAAGCATGTCGGCGTCGAAGAATTCGTACAATAATTAATACATTCATACATTAGGTGACATTGATCGCGATTTCAGAGTACCTACGTGTTGAAGCATCTCAAATAACAGAACTGATTCCAGCATCTTGCGCGAAATTCTAACATGTCTAGTAACTTTCTACGAAGAAAAATCACCTCACAATGCGTTGGGTTCCGCAAGGTAATCCAAGTCCCAATACCCATTATATATACATATATATATATATAGTGTGTGTGTGTGTGTGTGTGAATTATTTTCAGATAGAGTGTATCGGTAAAGGAACAAAATAAGGAAAATTATTCTTAACCGATGCGTTTCGTCTTTTGAGGACATTATCAAGGCAATGTAGAATGTATTTTGTTGCACGTGTTTATATACAAAAGCGAGTATGTCATTGGTTTTTTTTTTGTTTTTTTTTTTTTTGAGAACGTTCATGAATGTTCATCAGGTGGTTGA